TAATTATATTAAAAACAACAGTCAACGAAAGCACCGATATGTTAAAATATTTTGATTTTTTACAATTTGTGACCAGAAGTTATACAGGTTTGATATTTTAATGGATTTGCTTTCTATTTTTACAAATGAACTATTAGGAAAAAAAACTGAGTAAATAATAAAAATAATTAGTAGGGAATTACATTTTTACACAGAAAATTAGCATTACCATTAAACTTGGAAATGCTGTCTGCTGCAAATTGTATAATAATAAAAAAATAGTTCATTTAAAAGTCTGTTATTAATTATATAACCTTAATATTTTAAATAAAATATATTTGTACAAATACTATAATAAACTTTTAAACAATCAAAAATTTCTTGTCCTTTCATATATATTTCAAATTGTCGGTCACAAATTGTAACACAAGTAAACATGTACAACGTACATAACTAATTATAAATATGTATTTAATAGATATATTTACCATATACACAAACTAATTAACAATTAATCACGTTATAAATATAATATTTTCGATAATTTTATCTATATTTACATATAATATGTAATAAACCAATAACACTTCTTACTACTGAGTTAAATATTACCGTGATAACAAAAGATTAAAGTACACAATACCACTAGAATTATTATATAACGTACTTAACACGAGACTATACAACATTGGACATACGGGATATGTAACATGGGATTATAAAAATCGAACATAAATTATCTCAAAAAAATACAAAAAAAAAAAATAGTTTTTAAGAATAGCTACCTATTTTACTTGTGTCATATAATCTTGCACACACAATTTATTTTTATATATTATAGTTACATACAATATTATTATCTAGACATCTAAATGTAATTAAAGATACATATCTGGTAAAATATGTATAGCTACTTGTTAGATTGATATGTCATGCATGATAGGCAGAATAACACGTTTATAGACAAATAATGCTATTATTGAAAAAAAAACCAGGTTTTACACACTGATATATAATCGATAAAAGAAAATGATTTAATTGAACACTACTATACTTCATAAATAAAATCTACCGCGATTTTTTTATTATTTAATCATATAAGAAAAAAAAATCAGAACAGCGTTTGTGAATTTATGTTTAAATTGAAACTTAGCAATAAATTTACTTATACTATGAATGTGTTTGTTTGTTTCTTTGCTACGTTTTCACGCCTAAACAACTAAACCGATTTCAAAATTCTTTCACCAATGGATTACTACTTTTTGCCGCGATAGCCGACATACACGCGGGCGGACCCGCGGGCCAAAGCTAGTCCTAAATAATAATAATAATAAATAAATAGTACTCGAATTTTAGGTAAGTACTGACTAGTTTCCTGTAATAATAATAATTGTATTACAATAATAATGGACCAACTGCTTCAAAATAACACTAGATGGTGGTGTTTTAAAGTCCAGAATCCTTGGGTAACGTAAATCTTCAATAAGTCTTGATGGAGACATATTTTTACCTATCGCCTCTAGTACTTAGTTGTTCATTTAAGTGCCTAACACAAGTAACACTCTCAAAGAGTTTTATATATTCCATATTACGTAGGGTAATATGGAATATATAAAACTTTAAAGTTTGAAAGAAATATATAGTAAATGTAATAAGGACAACATGCCTTCCCTAGCATATATTATGACAAATTCCTTCATCTTATTTTACATCATGTAAAGACCGCTTAACAAAAATGTTTTCAGACTATATACAAACTTAACTACCAACTATCTTCTTTCAAATCAAGGTTTTGGTAAGTTGAGAATTACCGAAGAAAAATTACAAAAATACAAGTAACATCCAGTTATTTACAATGAAACAACCATTTCCTTGTCGTTTGATTGATGTGAGCCCGAAACATGACAAGGACAGCAATGGTGTTGTTATAACTTAAATTCACCTACTTTATTGAAGGATGCAATACAATGAGAAATATTTTTACTGTATCTAAGCTGCATTACGTAACGAGGCGATACAATCGAATGAAATAAGAACATTCACTGCGTTTACAGAATATGAAACTAGAACACAAAGTCACTTAGAGTTTCGCAAATAGGGAAATGTAAAATGTAAAGGGTATATTTATATGTAGACTTGTCTGATTTGAAAAGTAGGAAACTGTTGCATAGCGTGTGACGAGAGGATCAAATAAAGAGTCGAGTTTTGAGGCCCTTATTCGCACAGAAGTTTTAAATTTTGGATAATAGTTTCCTTTTTAGTTTTATTAATATGTAAAAGAATTTTGAAGTTTAGGTTTAATTAATATAAAGTATTTTGAGGAAAAAATCATAGATGAAACTGTCCCTTACCATGCCGTGGAAACTAGTAAGTCAAGTTTAGGTTTCTGATTAGTCAATGATTAAAAATTACATGTGCAGTATTGTTTATAGATGTATTTCTACTAGACTAGGTATTTTCGTTAACTCAACAATGGTGTTTATAGCATCGATTTGTCATAATGTACTATCCTACATATCATACCTTCTAATACAACTAAATAAGCAAAATGGGTACACTACACAAATACGAAAAACTTTATTCCGTAAGTCACAAATACGAATTTCAAAACACCGATTTTCATAATTCCAAATGGTTAAATTCCTAATATAACAATTCCGATTGATCATTTATCCTAATTTTATAATTCAAAAATTTCCATTATCCTAACGTTTATAATGACTATACTCAAAATACCGAGTTTCAATAGATTCATTAGATACCGAGTTTCAAAAGTCCGACTAAATGACAATTCGAAACATAAAATAAATTTCGTGAATTTTAATAATAGACATTATAATTCTTAGGTATTATGATATTCCGAGTTTTGAAAATCGGAGCATCGAAATTCGGAATAAAAATATTTTAGAGTATTTGGGTGTTTACAAGCAAAATGGTTATAAAGGGATCTTGGACTTATTTCCTAGCAGTTTTTATTGTTCAAAATCTCAAATCGTCAAGTCATATATAAATTAGTGTTCAGAATCCTCATAACGATAATATAGCATATTCTTGTTCTGTGTTTTGCTATTTTAATTTGTTAGGAAAAAAATACAACAAGACTCGAATCTTCGATAGCTAAAAGATCTCCGGCCGGCTCGATCCCTTGGCGTTATGTAGAGATGTAGCTTCACTCTACCTTCTCTATAGTATATATCATGGTGAGTGAATCATCAACATTTTCAACCCCACTACTTGCATAATTGGCACTCCTGTGGCTTTTCAAGACACTTTTTGCCTCATGCAACTAGTCTGTGGAACAATTTATCATTTACTTCAAGAAAAGAGCGTACTCCTTCCTTAAAGGACGGCAATGGGCTTGAGCGCACTCCTGATTTGCAGACGTTCATGCGCGGCGGTATTCGCTTTCCATCAGGTGGCCCGTCTGCTCTTTTGCTCCCTCTTCCATAAAAAAAAAGTGTTATTAACTAATAACATAAAAGACCACAAATTACTAAAACAAACTTTTAATCAAAACAAAAAACTGTCGTTCTAATGACAGAAATTTTATTAAATTATCATAAAATAGACTTAACAAAATATTTTACGATTTTAAAACAAAACCAAGTAAATTTTTGTTTAATATTCGCTTAATGTATAAAAATAATACGAACATTTTTAGTTATAAATTATAATAGTTTTTCTGTTTTTTCTCGAAATCTTATTTTTAAACTATTAAAATTATTATTTAATTCCAGCAAGGGAAATATGTGTTATGATATGATTTATGTGATATGTTAGTGATAACATATACTTTTAGTGTTTCCTATTTACATCCAGATTTATTGATACTTAGTACGTAAATAAAAATATTAGAACAGCGATAAGTGTAATTCAAGTGATTTGAAGACTTATGTGATATGTATCCTCTAAGTAAATTATATTTAAAGTCAGTCCGCATTTTGAATTCTATTAAGTAATAAAGTGCAGTGATCCTAGGATGCATTTTAATATAAAAAAAACGCATTTTTTGATAATTATATTTTATTTTTTATTAGAAGATTAAGAAGAAAAAAAAGAGAAAAAAAAAAATGAAAATCATTTTTTTTCCACGGTCTTTCAAAGCTTTTTTTTTCATTTTACTGAACTGTTAAAAATATTCTAAATTTACAACGTTAAAACAACAAACTAACGTTAAAATACTTGCTGAATTTATTTATACACCAAATAATTTGTAACCGACTGACTTTAAGGAATATACATATATGTCTTTAACTTTTTACAATATATATACACTCTCACTAATGGTCCTTATATCCCAAGATCCTTGGACGGTTCAACTTCATTTAAGGATCTTTCACCCACACTGAATAAGCAAGAATTAATTTTTAGAACATCCTATAACAGTTTAACCCTCCCGTTAATTAAACTTTTATGTAGTAAGATTAAAACAATTTTTTAGCTTATGAGGGTAACTGTAATAAATAACATACTCTCTTAAATAATATTTGATATTCATTAACAGGTTATTTACATCTATAGGTATGACACAGATCTAGAACAATATTAAAATATGTTCTGTGTTCCTTAATCTATGAGATAAGAGCTGATAAAATTGCAAAACTGCATAATTACGATTCTCGACTCAAAGCCGTTGATAATAAAACAAATTTTGGCCTGTAGCTTTTTAACTAGGAAAAACACCTTTGATTTTACGTATATTAAAATTTCGTTTTCACTGGAAAATTCTCTATGCTTTTGTTGGCTGATTAAAAGGATTAAGTAAAAAAGGATTTATTCTGTTTCTTTAATAACTTATGAATTTCTTTTTACTTGAATAGGTAACTATATGCATAATTACAGAGCAAATATATTCGAATAGATTTAAATAATAAAATATTCAATAACATAGAGCAGCTTAAACAGTTACTCTTGAAGGAGAACTCTAATACAATTGTATAAGTATCTAAATTAAACAGATTGTATCTAAAATTTAATTCTTGCCCTTTATTCTTTCTAAATATCTATATCGTCTAAATAGGTCACCTTATGTCGCCATAGCGTGTACAAAGTACTACTAGTAGTGAAGTGAGTAAAAGACTCAAGTAGCTTGTGGTCGTTTTAACACCACTCTGCAGTTCTGCCAGACTTGATCCTGTAAACAAAATAATAATTTAAAACGATATAAGTTACAATCACACTATGCCCTTCTGGAACCAATTCACTACCATGTAATGTAGTGAAAAGGGAATGACACGAAAAATAGCTGCCTGTTATATGAAGTTGTTTGGTAGCAGAAAAACAAATGAAGAAATTCAGGGACATAGTATAAAATAAAGTCGCGTTTTTTTCTTGTACGCTTAGATCTTTTAAACTAAGCGACGGGTTTTAATACGGTTTCTCAATAAAGGAACTCAAGAGGTAAGTTTTATGAGTATGTATCATCATCATTAGCCTATCGCAGTCCACTGCTGGATTTAGGCCTCTCCCATTGCACGGTAAACGTAGTGTAGGACGCCCACAGGCCAGGTGGAGTGACGATTTGCGCAAGATGGCTGGCAGGAGCTGGATGCGAGAAGCCCAAAATCGATCTAAGTGGCGTACAATGGGAGAGGCCTATGAGTATGTATAATACATGCACATTATAGAAAAGAATTTCAAGGATTTCAGGGATGTGTCGTAAAAACATGTTTTTACGCGCTTACATTACGCTTACGCTGGCTAATCCTTACGAGATAGACCAAAATAATTTACTACGGAATTGTATATTTTAAAAAGACCTACAAAAAAGCTTGCGATGGTATATGTTTATCTCCTAAGGATAACCTACAGAAACCATTTTTATCTTTTATATATTACAAAAAAAAAATAGTTTGGTATTTACAAAGCTATATTAAACAAAACATTATTCATCTTTTTTTATTATTAAATTTAAAAATTTGATTCCTTATCCAATTAAATACGAGATACGTTGTGCATTTAATGTAGATTAAAATTACTCTTTCCAGCATACTATTAAAATTAATATTTTAGAAGATATTAGAGGTTTAAAATGCGAGAGCAAAGCGGCTGTCGCCGCTTCGGGCCTTAAGTACGTCGCGGGTGGCAGCGGCCACCAGGATCGGAGCGGCCCTATAAATATTGCATATAAAGATGTTCTTTAGTATAGCCCTCTCATAATAATAGTATAATTAATTACTCCACACTGACACCACATTAGTAGTATTAGTAGTATCTACATTGCACCCGTGCGAAGCCGGTGCGGATCGCTAGTAATAAATAAATGAAAAGAAAAACAGTTTTTTATATGAATACCGTTCGATATTAACTTTGAAATATTTGATTTGGACCCATACTTCTGCACCTAAGGGCTGGATCAACTAAAGTGATACCACGGCTTCACAGAAAATTAGTGAGAAGAAATTCTTTCTTTGCTTTTCAATCGATTGATTGAAGATACCAAAGACGCCCTTCCCATATTCTGGGGAGAAGCACTTAAAAGAGCTGCAATGCACTTGTGTCTCTTAAGTTGTATGTTGTTTATAAGCATTATATGAATCATCCATAGTGTAAGGGATGGAACAAGATTTGTATAGGTATGCGGGCATAAAAGTCGTTCGCGCAACCTTCAATCCGGTGACATTTTAGGCGCCACTTATCCAATATCAATGAAATTTAAACTGTATAAATCAAATTGCCTTCAGAAACCGAATGAGCAAACAAAATCTGTTGATCTAGTGGTTAGTGACTACTAAGCCGGAGATTGTGGGTTCTATTCCCACTCAGAACAAATAATTATGTGGTGAGCACGATCGTTTGTTCTGTGTCAGTTGTAATTTATCTATAATATGTATGTATTACGTTATTTTTTTGCGTCTAGGCAAACGTTGTATAGGATACCCACAGGCCAGGTGGAGTAATGATTTGCGCAAGATGGCTGGCAGGAGTAGGATGCGAAAAGCCGAAAATCGATCGAAGTGGAGTGCAATCTGAGAGCCCTATGTCCAGAAGTGGACTGCGACAGGCTGATGATAATGGTGTATTTAATTATAGCACAGGCGCTGCCTAGTTCGGGATACAAGAATTTAAAGAAAAATACTATGTTTTCTTTCCTATATTCATAAATAGTGGCGATACTCTACGATACGACTCTTTAAAAATTTTCATTTTATCGATAATTGTCACAAACTTAAAGAGTTTCCACTTCTCACTCTTTACAAAACACCGAGGGTATTACTTTTTATTCGGCAGAATATCGTAATCACCATCAAGTACGACTGTAAGTTTCAGTCGTTTTTCAACATCAAGGTGATTACCTCGCCTCGGCCAAAGCCACTTAGCGACCGTTCGTTTCAAAGCTCGTGGAGGAAATCAGGTGTCAGTGGAACAAATGGTTTCTGAACGAAATAGGGACGTAAGCACTTCAGTTTAATCTATCGAGAGGCTCGGCGATAACACGAACCGAAGTGTTGGTAGATAGCTTGTGAAAAATGATGTAGGGCTATTATATTTTATTTACAAGCATTATATGAACACATTTACTTTTTTATAGTCTTATATATCGATTTAAGAAAAATATATCCAATATCTACTATATTTAATCATTTTTAACAGTTTTTAATTAAAGAGGAGTGGAGAAGAGGAAGAATTTTGGTATTTTAGACAACTAGAAAAAAAAAGCCCTTATAGGATCCTTTGTTGTCCGTCTGTCTCTCTGTCAAGACCCTTTATCTCGGCAACGCGTGGAAATCGAGTTGAATTTAAAACCATAAACTTACTAACGTAAAAAAAAGGTAAAGGCAAAAAACGCATATTTCGACACTCTCAAGGGAATTAAAATTCATAGGGTCCATACTTCCTTGGGCACGCCGTTATTGCGGCGGTAAGACCTGTTATGCAGAATTGGCTCAAGTGGCATCACGGGACCCTCACATACCGGCTGATGCAGGTGATCACCGGGAAAGGTTGCTTCTGGGATCACTTGTGTCTGTTGTGTCTGTCCAACGCCTGGGTGTCCCCACTGCGATGGCCGGCGTGGGTTAAGTAGAGGCGTGACCTCGTGGTGGCCATCTGAGTGGGAGTCCTCTCGCTCGGTAGTATATTTGCCGCCATGGTACGGAGCGAGAGTGCGTGGAACTCCGCCTTCTGTGAGCAAGTTACGCTTACGAAGGAGACGGCGGAGCGGGCCGGGAGAGATTTAGAACTCTTCCGGTCCGCCAGTGCAGGTCTGAGGGTGACAGGTGAGGCCATCTGTTACCTTAGCAGGCCGGGTTTGAGGCGCAACGCACCCGTTTGTTAGTGGAACGGGAGCACCGTGGTTCCCATACACGAGGGGGTTATCTACATGCCGTAGATGGCCCGAGGTACGTCGGGGTTAGAGAGATTTCCTTCCTAGGGTACACCTAGTTCCCCGGTTACTGGTAACTGAGATGGCGTACCGTTATTTAGTCGGTTAGAGTTCGACATAACCACCGGTGGGTTGTATCCGAGGGGATTGCCGCATAGAAAAAAAAGAACAAAAAAGGTTCCATTTCATACTTCCAGTTTACAGTAACTTTGAAATTTGGCAAGTGACATCATCTTTTACTACAACTGTAGGGAAAATTCTGAAAACTATACATTTGTAAATAAATCGTAAAAAAATATAAAACAATTTCTCTTTTAAAACTTTCTTGAGTTTTAAAAGAGAAATTATTTAATAAATAATTATAGGTTTTGGAAACTGAATTTCGGGGACAGCTCGGTAAAATCTGCGAGATTTGATTCCTGAACTATTTATAATATGTACCTACAAATGTGTACAGAACCCTCGGTGGGCGAGTCTGACTCGCATTTGTTCGCATTTCCATATCATTTTCATCCACATTTTCATTTCTCAGTCAATTATGGGCCAAGTTTTTTTTAATAGGAGTTTAAGGATGAAATTATAGTTGTATAGTAAAAGATACTTTGAATTGACTTTTGTACTGATACTTTGAAGATACTTTGAAACTTTTTTCACATGGTAACTATGAGGTTCTTTTTTTTAAATGTACAACTATCGATTTTTAACTTTCAATTGTTATTTTTTTGTTCAGCTTAGACGTGAAAGATGGAGACTTTGAAAATCTGACTCATTTTGAATACGAATTCCACCGCGGCAGAAACAGCTCGCAATATCAACACTACGTTTAGAGAGGAGACTGCTAATGAATGCACCGTGCGTTTTTGGTTTAAACGCTTTCGTAATGTGACTTGAAGAACGAACCATGTGGAAGACTACCCACACAGGTGAATAATTTTGCATTTGCATCAAATCAATAAGATAAAATAAACATGAGAAAAGAAGAAGAAGAAATGCGTGTTGAAACTTGTGTTGCCTTGTTGAATCGGTTCAGAAATGAAGGAATATTGGATTAGGTTGTGGCATGTGACTAAAAGTGGATTGTTTATGATAACTATAAGTGAAAAATGCAATGGCTGACCCCAAGCCAAACGCCACAACAGTGCTCTAAAGCAAAGCTTACCAATAAAATGGTAACTGTTTCGTGTTCTCTTTATGGTGTTATTCACTATAGTTTTCTCAGGTCTGGTCAGGCAATAACAGCAGATATTTACTGTGCCGAACTTCGAACAATGATGGCGAAACTGGCATTGAAAGCCCCGACTCGTGAACCGATGTTCACCAATATTGCTTCATGATAACGCAAGACCTTAGACTGCACGAGAAACGGTTGTAACTCTACAACATGTTTCCCCTCTTTTTGAGTTGGATATATATGTGGTGTTTGTGACAGGTAACAGAGGTATGTGCACAAGAAAGGAATAAATGAGTTTATAAAATATTTCTACAAATTAGAAAAATATATAGGTGTGAAACAATTTGGAAAATTTAGGTCTTAAAATTTGAGCAGTGCCACCTCCAATAGTGGAAAATGAAATAATGTAGAGTACAGTTTATTACAACTTACAATGATTCATTTCCTTTTTTAATTCAACGTTCGTTCCATCTTAGAAGCTTAATATTTATCACAAAACAATATTAGTTTTAATGAAATATATAAAAAGTAACAATTCCAATAGATATTTGTAAAATCGTTTACTTATTCAGAAGAAATAAACCAAAGTGCAAACTTAGCTCTACATCGAGACAAATATAATAAACTCAAAAGAGGT